AAAATAGCACAATATTGCCAAAGCAATAGACCAAAAACCAAAAACCAAAGCCGAATCGATAACCGAATGGACACCAGCACATTTTCAGGAGGGAGGGATTTATAATGTCGCACAAGATATTTGATACTACCTTACCAGAAGAACAAGACCATCTGGACCAATAATCTAGTGAAATGTCAGCAATCACATAGAAGAAGAGCAAGTGTGCCTATAGAAGAATCTTTACTAGAAGAAAAGTGCAACTTGGCTTTCCTCTGTCCAGCAAATAATTGCCTGCAAGTAGCAATACTGAGCCTTCTCCTAATTACCATTATTTTAATTGAGGTTGACAGATAGTGCTAATAATGCCAAGATAATCTTCTTCATCTGACTAATTCTAATTCCCATTAGCCGGTGATAATTCTCATTAAATTAACTTTCTACTGGAGAAATTTCAAATAATGGGAATGAGACAAGTGTGTGTTGTTCTCATGTCAGTGGGTCTGTTCTATTCTCAGATGTGTTGCAGAAATTGATTTTTTTTTTTAAATAGCTAGTGCAGAAGTAATCCAGTTTAGCAAAGAAATGCAAAATGAGACTGCAGAGCAAGCTGCAGGGCAACTGAGGCAGTTCCCCCTTAAAAAGAAGGTATTGACAGACACATTTATTAACACTACAAAACAATTATTACAAAAATGTGGAAAAAAAAGTTTATAAAGTATTGAAGTGACGTGAAGGCCAAGTATGGTAACCCATACTCTAAATTTGTCCTCTGCATTTAACTTATCCTACTTAGTGCACACACACACACACACAACTGGAGCAGTAGGCAGCCATCCATACGGTGCCCGGGGAGCAATTGGGGGTTAGGTGCCTTGCTCAAGGGCACCTCAGTCGTTTCCTGTCGGTACTGAGAATTGAACCCGCGTCCGTGGGTTACCAGTCCAACTCTCTAACACTCTCTAACACTCTCTAACACTCTCTAACACTCTCTAACACTCTCTAACACTCTCTAACACTCTCTCTAACACTCTCTAACACTCTCTAACTACTCTAACTACTCTAACTACTCTAGTGGATTCCTTCATAATCCAGTCAATGACTAAAAGAATCAGCAAGGATGAGAACAGGCATCCTTGTCTAACTCCTGTTTTCACCCTGGAAGCTGTTGGTGAGCTACCCTCCATGGATGACTCTACAAGACTCTACATCATAAGATTTTCTAATCAGGTTAACCAACATTACTAGGATGCCGTAGTGTTGAAGGAGCTTCCAAAGGGTCTCTAGATCCAAGCTGTCAAACGTCTTCTCATAGTCGACAAAGTTGATATAGAAGGGGGAATTCCACTCCAGCGACTGTTCGACTATGATGTGGAGCATTGCGATCTGGGCTGTGCTTGTTCTATTCTGCTGGAAATGTGCTTGTTAATCTCGGAGCTGTGGGTCGACAATGTCCTTCACTCATTCATTCATTCATTCATTCAGATTCATTCATTCAAGATGAATATTAAGCTGTTTGTCTCATCCTCATCCTGAATCAACACTGAACTGACTTCAGCTGAACAATGACATTATTTTCTACTTTAGAGCTGCTTTACTCCATAATTGAACTCTGCATCATTGAATGATTATCCTCTTGTTGATCACTGTAAAGCTGCTTTGACGCAATCTGTATTGTATAAAGCGCTATAAAAAAATAAAGGGGACTTGACTTGACAGTGGTCCTTCCCATCATTTCCTATTTGTTTGTTTTTTTATGCATGTTTTTGCATGTTGGTTGCACCATATGACTTTGATTTGGCAAATGTTAATATTTTAACAAAACTGCTTTTCTGTCTTCTTTCAAGAAATAATAATAAAAATACTATGCCAACATTAACTTTCACGCATTTGCCAGATCACAGTGTACATTTTATAAGGTCATACATTCCTGATGGTCAGTGAAACCAGTTATGCTTTTGACACATAATATCTACATAAAACATAATCTCCATGCTGAAGTAAGCGACAACCCTGCATATGCAGAATAATGCATTATTCAGACCTAAGCGCACATGCTGATATCCATTAGTACATCTCAGAGACCTGTGCCATCAGAGGAGGGCCACTGGGGGCCAGTAGCTAATTAGGGCACTTCAACTCTGTAAAAGTAATTTGATGACACTGATGTGAGAGATTGATATTCACGCTTCACCTCTCTCTCCATCCACTCGAGCGTGTTGTTTACCTCCCGAAGCAATTAGACACCAAACAAAGACAGCAACTTATTTGCATTGAAGATACAATGCACCACCGTCAGTCTATCAGCACAATCAACAGCTTTCTAAACACTTTCAACAATGTCAATTTCAACACAACATCAATAAAGGAGTTTGAATTCACCAAAGTTTCCTCTGAGTAGTGTTTATCTGGTGTTTTAGGGAAAACTCCATATGCAAAAGCTCTATAAGTTTTAAAAATCAGAAAACGGAAGTGTCATGATGACATTGTGTCAGTAAAAATGTAGACTTGCTTTCTTTTTCTATTTTTCTTTCATAGAGTTACAGTGTCCTCTAGTGACAGACTAGGCTTTGGAACATTGGCAAGACATGACAATGTGTTGACATTAGACATCAAATAATCTGTTAGGTTATAAGTACTTCAAAACAAAGTAGAAGTGCCATTGTACCAGACAGTAACATAATGGTACTTTGCTTATACCATGGCAGTACATATTTACACTAAGAAAATACATTACAAAAATTAAATATAGGCTTCTATACAGTATTGAGATTGAATACAGGGTTTCCATGGTTTTTAGAAGATACTTACACGAATACAATGGTACTACTATGATACATGTCCACCAAATCATGATACTACCACAGAACATTTAAGTATTTTTGTGTAGCAATGAAATGTAATAGAGCATAAGCACCATAATAGAACTATCATAGTACCATCATACCAACAATCTTTTTTTCTTTTTTTTGTAAGGGTAAAAAAATGCTGATCAACTCATTTTTTAAATTTGTTTAATGAAGCAAGATCTGAAAATGCATTTACTACAAAAAAAGTAAAAGAAAAAAAATAACACTGGTGCTACCAGGTACCATGATGGTAGTCAGGGTTACTGGATTAGTTTTGAGTTGACAAAACCAAACCAATCCAATCAGGCTTTGTTGGTACTATGATGCTGATCATCAATTTACTCTGTCAACTCAGGCTTTGATCCTGAGTTTAGGAGTTTAGGTGTGACATCAGTAGCGAACAGCCAATCACATGCTGTGGAACAGTGAAACTGCGATTCACTTCTGAGAGAAGCAGCACTTCTCTCCTCTGCAGAATATTATGAGATTGAAAAAATAAATAAGAATTTAAACAAATTTACAGAGCAAAAAAAAAAAAAGATATGTCTATGAAACTAAACAGGACATGACAACTAAAAGATGAAAAAAAAATCTTGCTAAATCAGTTCAAGTAAAAGTTGTGAAGTTAGTTTATATAGTTGATATAGAGCGTATCGAACATTTAAGCTCACATGTAGTCATTTTCCTAGCTTTATCTATTGATTCTAATGCTTATTTATATTACCTTCCAAGAGGGTCAAAAATAAGAAGATCTAGCCGTTTTTAAGGCCTTTCTGTATGCAGTAGTGCTGTCTTTCCACAAAATGTGAAAAACTTCTCGTTCTGTCAGGACCAAATACGATTGACAATTAGCATACGGTTTGGATAGGCGGTATGGTTCTGTTCTGGGCGAGAACTCCCTGCGCATCTATGCAGCCTAGCATGGATAAGAGCAGCAAAAAAAACCCTTAGGGTAAACAGAACAGAACCAACATGAATGTATCCAGATATAATTAATTCAAGATTTTAAAGTACAACGAGAGGAGGAGCTGGGGATGGAGGAGGGTAATTAGCTCCCGAGAAACGTGATAGCTGCTGATAATACTGAAGACTGGTTGCCCACTGAAGCTAAGCAGGGCTGAGCCTGGTTAGTACCTGGATGGGAGACCTCCTGAGAAAACCAGGTTGCTGCTGGAAGAGGTGTTAGTGAGGCCAGCAGGGGGCGCTCACCCTGTGGTCTGTGTGGGTCCTAACGCCCCAGTATAGTGACGGGGACACTACTATAAAAAAGAGCACCGTTCCTTCGGATGAGACGTTAAACCGAGGTCCTGACTCTCTGTGGTCATTAAAAATCCCAGTAAAAGTCTTTTGAAAGAGTAGGGGTGTAACCCCGGCATCCTGGCCAAATTTGCCCAGTGGCCTCTGTCCATCATGGCCTCCTAATCATCCCCATATATATACACTGATTGGCTTCATCACTCTGTCTCCTCTCCACCAATAAGCTGGTGTGTGGTGGGCGTTCTGGCGCACTATGGCTGCCGTCGCATCAACCAAGTGGATGCTGCACATTGGTGGTGGTTGAGGAGATTCCCCCTTCCATGTGAAGCGCTTTGAGTGCCTAGAAAAGCGCTATATAAATGTAATGAATTATTATTATTATTATTATTATTATGTATACAGTGATAGGCATCGTATTCCTATAGGTAGACGTGGATCAGCTGAGAGTCAGCTGATGCGAGCTTGACTAACGTGACCTGCCAGAACAATAGGTTACTTGCGTAACCCCGGTTCTCTGATAGCATTAAGTGAGGTGTCTCACTATGGGATACGCCCCTTCCGCGTGTTCCTCAGAAGCCCTATTACATTACGCCAGCCCCAATTGGCTGGCAGACATGACGCTGTGTCTGGGAGTGGCTACCCCACCCCTCCGTATAAGAGGAGCAGCACAACGTCATTACGACATTCAAAACAAGCACACCTCTTCCTCGCTTCACACAGCAAGGAGGGTGATCTGGTGAGACACCTCACTTAATGCTATTAGAGAACCGGGGTTACGCAAGTAACCTATTGTTCTCTTTCAAGCATACGTTTCGTGTCTCACTATGGGATATCCTAACTCCCGTATTGCCAGATAGCCTGCCTCGAAGTCCTCTGCCAACCACAGCACCACCTCCAGGCTGAACGAGTCTTGAGTCATGACTCAACTCCAACGCTCAATACCGCATGTGCTAAAGTCTGAGCTGTAACATCCAGTTTATAAAACCTAGCAAATGTATGCGGCGAGGACCAACTCGCCGCTTCGCAAATATCCTGTATCGTGACTCCTTTAAAAAGAGCCCACGAAGTTGACATTCCCCTTGTTGAGTGTGCGCGTAAACCAGCTGGGGGCTCATGACCCTTACTGGAATATGCCAGTGAAATCGCCTCCACTATCCAGTGCGACAAACGCTGCTTAGTAATTGGCTTCCCTTTACGTGGTTTCACCCAAGATACGAACAGCTGATCACACTCCCGAAACCCTTTGGTTCTTTCGATGTAAATGCGTAAAGCACGCACTGGGCACAACTCATTTAGCTTTTGCTGTTTTGAAGAAGCAAAAGGTGGTGAATAGAAAGCTCTTAACTCCAAAGGAGTGATAGAATTAACTATTTTGGGCATAAATGCAGGATTAGGTCTCAAAACCACCCCTGCATCCTCGGGCATGAACTGTGTACATGCTGAATGCACCGAAAGTGCGTGAATCTCACTTACGCGCTTCGCCGAAGCCAAGGCTAACAGCAGCGCCGTCTTAAACGACAATATTTTCAAATCGATCTCGTCCAGTGGCTCAAATGGGGACATTGAAAGAGCTTCAAGTACCAGTGCTAAATCCCATGAAGGGGAAAGCGGTTTTGAAACTGGTAAAGCGCGACGCGCCCCCTTCATGAACCTGCATACTAGAGGATACTGCCCAACGGTTTTATTATCAAACCCTATGTGACAAGCAGAAATAGCGGCCAAATACACTTTTATGGTTGAAAATGCTTTCCCTTGGTCTATCAAATCCTGTAAGAATGATAGAACAACTGCCACTGAACACTGAAAGGGAATCTCGTGCTTAGCCGCGCACCAGCACTCAAACACGCCCCATTTGCATTCATAGAGTGACCTAGTCGACGAAACTCTAGCATTCTGTATGGTTCTGATAACATTGTCAGATAGACCGGTCATATTAAAATTCAACCACTCACTGGCCAGGCCCATAGTGCCAATCGTTCTGGGTGGGGATGAAAGATCTCCCCCCCTGCTTGTGACAGTAGATCTCTGCGTAACGGGAGAGACCAGGGGTCTTCGTACAGCATATGTATGATCTCCGCCAGCCAGTATTTCCCCGGCCACCTCGGAGCTATTAATATGAGCTTTAGTCCCTCCTCCCTCACTCTGTAGAGTGTTGGGGATATTAATGCTATCGGTGGGAACGCATAGAGGAGAGTGCGAGGCCAATCGTGTGCCAGTGCATCTATCCCCAGAGGCGCGCTCTGATCTTTCAGGTAGAAAAACAGAGGACACTGAGCATTGTCGTGCGACGCGAACAGATCCACTGTCGCTTTGCCGTATATTTCCCAGATTTGTTCGACCACTTCCTTGTTCAATTTCCACTCCCCGTAAAGTGAATTGCCTCTGGACAGCAGATCCGCACCCCGGTTCATGACACCCTGTACGTGTGTCGCTCTCAGGGATGAAAGATTGGCATTGCTCCACAAAATCAGTTTGCGTGCCAGCATGTGTAAGGGAAGTGATCTGAGGCCTCCCTGTCGATTTATATACGCCACAACTGTAGTGTTGTCCGTTCTCACGAGAACATGATGCCCTTTCAGAAAAGGGAGAAAATGCTTCATTGTCAGAAACACGGCCAGCATTTCCAGATAGTTTATGTGAAGATTGATCAGATGATGACCCCATCTTCCATTCACTATCCTGCCCTCGTACATGCCCCCCCATCCGTACAGCGACGCGTCCGTCGTTATGACTTTTCTGGCCTGAACCACGCCCATGGGTACCCCTTGAACCAGAAAGGTTGGGTGTCTCCACTGACGCAGTGCAAAGACTGCCTCTGACGTCACTCTCACTCTCCTTCGGCAGTGCCTTAATGGGTCCAGTCTCAGAGACGCTACCCAGCGCTGAAATTCTCTCATGAATAGTCTGCCTAAGGGAATAACTATTAGGGCTGAGGCCATCAGTCCCAATAATCTGAGGCATGTGCGGAAAGAGACATTTTTCCCCCTCTGAAATTCGTTCAGGCATCGGGTGAATTTTACCACCCTGTCCCGTGACAGTCGCGCTCTGAAGGTCACCGAGTCCAGTGACAGCCCCAGATACGTTATGGACTGTGCGGGAATCAGAACACTCTTTTCGGTGTTTAGTTTTAAGCCCAGTTTCTGTATGTGTTCCAGAAGCATGGTTGTGTGATATCTCACTTCCTGTTCTGACTGAGCTGTCACCAGCCAGTCGTCTATGTAAGTAGCGAGACGGATGCCTTTTTCCCTGAGCGGGGTCAGGATGCACTGGCACACGATTGGCCTCGCACTCTCCTCTATGCGTTCCCACCGATAGCATTAATATCCCCAACACTCTACAGAGTGAGGGAGGAGGGACTAAAGCTCATATTAATAGCTCCGAGGTGGCCGGGGAAATACTGGCTGGCGGAGATCATACATATGCTGTACGAAGACCCCTGGTCTCTCCCGTTACGCAGAGATCTACTGTACATTTCTGTACATTTTATAAATACTCTTGGACTCAGAGACATGCCAAATGGGAGAACCAGGTATTCATATGTCACTCCGAGGAAAGCAAACCTCAGGAATTTCCTGTGGGGTGGGTATATCTTTATGTGAAAATATGCGTCTTTCAGGTCGATCGATGTAAACCAATTGCCTAGACGCACCAGTTTCAGGAGTGTAGAATGAGTGAGCATTCTGAACTTGTACTTCCTTAAGTATTTGTTCAGTGCACGTAGATCTAATATGGGACGAAGGGCACGAGTCCCTTTCTTTGGGACTAGAAAGTACCTTGAGTAAAACCCACTGTGGCTTTTCTCGGGTGGTACCACTCTTATCGCCCTTTTGTTCAGTAGTGAATAAATTTCGTCCTGAAGAACATGTTTTAATTCTTCCCGCACATGAGAATAAATTATCCCTTTGAAGTGCGGGGGGGAAGTGGCAAACTGCAGTCTGTACCCGAATTGTATTGTCTTTAATACCCAGCGGGACTGTGTGCACTCTCGCCAGTTGTTTATTTGCAGCGTTCTGGTGCCATCGTGTGGCTGAGTCATGAATGAGTTCGTGGTCTGTACTGCGGATGCGTGGGCACTTAGCGCTTGGACAGAGTCTGTGTGGCTCATCACCTCTAAGGGATCGAAAGCTCCCTGAGGTGATGTTATAATGTGTTCTGTTAACATGTTTTGCAAAAATTTTTGGGGCATTGTGTTTTGCAACATTCTCTGGGGGTACAGTGAAAACTTTATTGAATTTTGTACATGAAAAGTGCTTGTGACTAGTGGGTTGGTGTGCACCACTGCACCGTTTCTTTTCTTTTTCACCACTCTGCTTCCCCTGGCCCAACCGGGCGCTGTTTTCCCCACAGAACATCTGTGAACAGTGGAACTCGTGATTTGACGAACGCTGAACATGTGAGGGTCGGGAGTTAGCGAACTGGGGGGCTGTTGACTCCCTTCCCTGGTGAAGACCCTGTCAAACCGTCTTCTTCTTCCTCCTCGCTCCCTGAAGATGGGGATGAGGATGAGGTTGAGGGGCTGACTGGACCGTCTGAGCTGCTGCAGGCGGATAGTTCTTCCTAGGCCAGGCAGTTCTCTGTTCCTGTGCTCCGCTCTGACCCGCTGCATTCACGTTAGGTCTCTGCCGTTTCGGAATGCGAAAGTTGGGGGGTGGGCGGGCCGTGGCCTGTGCGAAGGTCTGTCGGGGTGGCGGAGGTGGTGCAGTCTGCGTCTTGGCATACAGAGCTGCAGGGCCTCATCATCCCTCTTTTTCTCTTCGCATCTCTTTTGCATCAGTGTCAAAGCTGAGCCGAAAATGCCATCTGCAACTACCGGTGCGTCTAGGATGGCTTCTTTTTCCCTGTCAGAGAGATTAGCGAGATTAAGCCATCGAGCTCTCTCCTGGATAACCATTGTGGCCATGGCTTTCCCGGCGGCTTGAACCGCGCATCTCTGAAGACGCAGAGAGAGATCCGTTACAACACAGATCTCTTCCCAGTGTGTCTGACCTGGCATGGTAGTCACTTCGTCCTGCAGCTCCGCTTGGTATGCGGTCAGCAGAGAGATCGCGTTCATAGCCCTTACAGAGAGCGCGACTGCTTTGTAAGCGCGTTCCGTCATGCTTGACTGGAAACGGTCAGCTTTAGATGGCAGCGTCGGATTTGCAGCCGCCGTGCGCTTCGGTTGCAAGTGCGCGGCAACTAATGGCTCCATGGGGGGCATTCGGAGAAGGCCCTCCTTTTCCATCCCCTCTACATCTAGAACGGAGCCACCCTGCACGGGCATCTTGCTTGTGAACGGCTTGTCCTTCCACGTAACCGCTACCTCCTCCAGGAGCTCCGGGAAAACAGGAAGGAGCTGTCGTGCTGCCCGTTTTGCACTCGGCAGTCTCTTACCCTCATAGCGAGACTTTGCAGTCTCTGCTATCACGGTCGGCCACGGAATATTAAGTTTTCCCGCAGCGCGTTTGCACACGTCCTGCAGGTCAACACTGAGAAGTGGGGAGGATGGTGTCCTGTCCGCCTCTTCCGTGGATCCCGCCGCCACGAGGAGTTGTGCCGGGTGCGCAGGCCGAGGGAGGAATGGAGAATCTTCGAAGTCTTCCTCTTCGTCAGAGAGAAGAATGTCCGATTGCCCCTCTTCCTCGTATTCGACCGCATCCTCTTCCTCATCCGTGCTGAGCAGACTGGAAAGAGGCATGCACGCATCGAGCTGTTCACTCCAGGATAGAGCTGCCGTGGTGGGCAGTTCTACAGGAATGGATACCTGCGGAGTGGCAGCTGGTGCATGGCTAGGAGTCATGAGGGGATCCTGGCCCGACAGGCTAGCTTGGCGTGCTAGCCTGCGACGAAGGCTCTTCGTGGTGAAGCGTGCGCAGTGTTCACACGTGCCGGGATTCTCGATCGCCAGTTGAGCATGTTTCAGCCCGAGACATGCAGAGCAGACCTGGTGTGTGTCCTTGCATGAGATCTTGTTCCCGCATGAACAGAGTCGCACAGAATCTCCCTCACTAGCCTGGATAGTCTGCATTGCTGCAGCCATCATAGTATCGAACAGTCCTTGCAATCGGCTGGAATGCAAATCGAAAGAGTCAGACGAAAAACGGCGTGGTGGCCAGTAATTCGTCCAAGAGTTCGTAGAAAGTTTCAAAGGCTTCTAGGCTTCTGGTGTGAAGCGAGAAGAGGTTTTTGAATGTCGTAATGACGTTGTGCTGCTCCTCTTATACGGAGGGGTGGGGTAGCCACTCCCAGACACAGCGTCATGTCTGCCAGCCAATTGGGGCTGGCGTAATGTAATAGGGCTTCTGAGGAATACGCGGAAGGGGCGTATCCCATAGTGAGACACCGAAACGTATGCTTGAAAGAGAACCACACAGTTAGAGAGTAGATAATGATCTGAGATGTCATCGCTCTACTGTAGAATTTCAACAGCATCAACATGGGGTGTGCGATATCACGATTTTTGATCGCAGACTATTAACATGTCTCGACGATCTGCTTTTGAATAAATATCGTAGTATTGTGCTATCTGTTGCAGTTCTGACGCCTCCGTCTTAACATAGGCCTACTGTACTGCTGCGTTAACATATGATGTGTGAATGTACGTCGCATTGCAGAGTTACACTCACGGGACACTGCAATTCACAAAAGTTCATTATTTGCATGTGCTTTAAAGCCTTGCGGGTTAAACATTTTAATTTGGGTGCCGATGAGCTGTTCTAACATGTACTTTCCTGAGCGCATACACCCGAAGCGCACATGCACTAAGAGCCTGTTAGTTTAGTTTAATTTTTAAAGTTTAATTTAGAGTCTTATTGCGCTAATACTGTCAAATACATGGTTGGTTATGTCTAAAGTTAAAGCATTCCACTTGGCGGGTGGATTTAAAGTAGGCTAATGTAATCGTCTGGTTTTAGCCAGGTTTCTGTCAAACACAGCACATCTAGGTTATGATCTGTAATCATATAATTTACAACAAGTGCTTTTGAAGAAAGGGATTGTATATTCAGCAACCCGAGCTTTATCATTTGTTCATCTGATTAACCAGTATGTCTGCTTCCTAACCTTGACCTCAAGGTTCAACTCTAAGACTATGTGCCATATTACTACCCCAGGAGGGATTAATACCATCTATACAGTGCTTAGCATAAGTGAACACACCGATGCTAAAGTTGACTAAAAAGAGGAATAAAAAATCATCTTTTGGAAATTGATCTTAATGCCTTAATTTAAAAAATGAGAGAAAATCCAACCTTTAAGGACACCAATTTTCTTTGTGAATGAATAATGTATCAAATAAATAAATGTTCTTCCTTAAAATTAGCCCGGTTCTGTCAACACTGCATTGGCTCCCTATTAAACATCGTATACATTTTAAAATATTGCTGATAACTTATAAAGCACTGAATGGTTTAGCTCCCAGTACTTGAGCGAGCTCTTAACGCATTATAGTCTGCATAGATTAGGTCAGACGGAACCGGGAACACTTAAATCCTGATGTACTCTTTACATCATAAGAAGAATGGTATCTACGCTAATATTAGTCTCTTTGTTTATCCCAAGGTTTACCGCAGTCCGTCGGATCCAGGCCGTATCCAGATCTGATGAAGGACAGAGCCTGGACGCGACGACAACGCAGTCCTGAAGGTTTGGGATAATTCCGGTTCACATGGCTACGCCGAAGCGATACAATTCTGTATTATAAATTTGAAGGCCAGACAAGTAGTTTGTTGAGGGTTGGTTTTTTTAGGGACTACATGCCTGCGCACATATATTCAAACGAGCATACCTATAGAATGTACTCTTAATACGCATGTGCACACCATCAGCGTTCTCACAGGTTTGCGTTTTTAAAGTTTGCGTAGAGAGAACTTAAGAGTTTTGTGTTAAAACGGTGTTGCGTTAGCAGCCCCTAAGTTAATAACTAATGATCGTTGCGACGGAAGTGAATAAATCAAAACTAACTTTAACTGGAAAATAACTTTATTCTAGAACTGCCATAAAGCCAAAACAATGTTACTTTAATTTCCTATTATCACTTTAGAGCCACTTTGGAACAATCTACATTGTTAAAAGCGCTATATAAATGAAGATGACTTATAAATGGCTTATTTATGAATTTATTAAAAAAAATAAAAAAGGACAATATCATTACCAGTTCTATTACCAAATAAATGACGTGGTATAGAAAAAAAGTTTTTCAAAATCTACCCACTGCAACCCAGAATAAACATAAATAAATGAAGTCACTGTAAACAGTCATATCTACTAGGACTCCCTTACAAAAGTAAGAATCATAAAAAAACAAGATTAATTCCTAAAGTTCAGTAAAAAAAAAAAAAACACTAGCGAATAGAATTCACTGAATTCTATTCCCCCCAACCCCAATAAATTAACACAAGTACAACATCCTACAGAAATTATGGAGTTCCCACGCAAAAAAAAAAAAATACAAAACTTAAAAAATAAAAACATATTGAAGCATAACCATTCATTCAACACAAACAAAAGAAGTCGAGGCAGCATTTCTTTTGGTTTCATTAGAATTTTAGAATAACGCACTTGTGGCTTCAAAACAACAAGACCCTCTAATGTGAAAAACAGACAAATACAGTTATATAAATACATCAAAATATGTTAAAACTGTTGTAAAAACATTCTTAGATTATAAAAACATTAATGCCAAATAAAAGCCTGTGTAAAAACTTCAATAATTTAAACATAAAAAAAGCAAGCACTCTCACATTATGTTTCAGCCCTGATCACACAATTTTTCTCTATTTTTTCATACAATTTATTCATTTTGTTCATTTGTTCCAGCATCGATGAGTAATTATGCACGGTATAATTCACTAAACAGTATAAATACTATAAAAATGTATGTACAGTACCCATTATTGTAAATCTTCAGATTTAAGTTAGTGTTAAGTAATTTACATTATTTACAGAATTGACTTCTGTGGAAATGAGACTGGAGTGGAAGATATAGAGTAGCAGAAACCACAGAAGTCACACAGCAGGTGCCAGTCAGGAATAACAGTTACTAAGGCTTTGAAATGTGCCTGCATTTGCCAGTCTTAGTCAATGTCACTGAGGTCACTAACAGGTTCATCTTGGACATGAGTCAGATGGTTCATGGCGCGGTTGAAGGCGGTCTGAACAGCTTTGCGGATGGCTGAGGTGCGTCCCTCCATCATCTTAATCTTGTCGATGGTTTTGTCAATACCGAGAGGAACCATCTTGGATTTAGAAAGCCACTGCCTGGAAAAAGGGAAACAGCACACCATCCTATTTTATAAAACTTCCCCAGACACAAGTTGTTGCTCTTGCCTTTTTATTATTTTTGTGCTTTTATGAAGTTGCATGTTCAGCCTTTTAGTTTTTAGTTGTTGTTTTTTTTTTTCGAAAAAAGGCGAACAACTCACTGATTGGATCACTCTACCACAGTAAAAGCCAGATATATAAACTGTGACACACTGTTATCTGATAATGATTAAGTAACTGAAAACACATTTAGAGGTATTCCGGCACAGATTTTGACCACACTTAAAGAATCCAAATGAGCTTCCTTCATCTGCTGTCAGCTAAATAAGTAATATGTAATGGTTTAGGATGGAAATAACATGTAATGTTTGTTTAAAGTAAAGTAACTTTGTTATGTTATTTGTCCTCATTTAATTGTTTCCTTGTTTAATTGCCTTTAATAATGTTTGAAATTTATATTAATTAGGCTAGTAGTTCTTGCTGTGCTATCAAAATTGAAATTGTGAATTCTGAAATTTTATTAAGTAATATTTATCACAAGTGCTGTTCATTTCTTTGAGTAAAACTTTTCCAATTACTGAGAACAACCGCACAATTTGACACTGTTGTCTGTAGAACAAGGACAAGTTAACTGCAGATGTGTAATACTCAGTGTTAGAAGTTTGCTCAAACCCCTAAATATAGGCATTAGTAATAGTGACGCTTGACTTCGCAAACACTAATAAATAACCTCTAAAAATCTCACCAGCTACGTTTGTTGTCAAAGAAGAGAACAAGGTAAAGTTTCTCTTCGGACTTGTACTGCAACTGTTCTCCGATCCGTAGCACGTCCAGCGGGGGCATTGGGATAGAGACTCCATTGTGCTGGCACCCCACACGTGGCATATGAGGGTCTATGATCTGTAATGAAACCATAACGTTAAAGAGCATGATGACAATCCTGGAAACAGTAAAATGACTAAGTTGCCCCCCTAATGGTTGACCAAGCGTTAGTCGATGAGAAAAGGCTTGGTCGGCAAAATTTGAATTAGTCGATTGGTCACAGAACAAAAAAGCTCCACAGGAAGTGACAAAGTCATGCAGCCCGTGACGGATAAATCGTTCACACGGTTGTCCATGTAGTAATTATATCGGGTAGGAAATCTAAATTGCAGCAGTTTAACAACTTTAATGTTAAAGTGAGCGGCCATGTAAAGTGGTTAATCTAGATAAAGGTGCGCTATTATTAGACACATAACCAATTGCACCATCTATTGTAGTCATGGAGTTTCAGATTTAAAATTTGTTTAATATGTATTTATACGTACGTTGATAGGGGGCAGCAGAACAATTACTTAGTTTATTGCGTTAGTATGACTACAGGGAAAACTAAATGATCGGACAAAGTGAATTAGCGCCCCAATATGTTGGATAATTACTTCTCCAAAACAAAAAAAAAACAAAAAAAAGAAATTGCTGATGGAGGCCAGGTAACTGAGCAGACAAGTGTCACTCATTCAGAAGATGAGAATTCCTGATGTGAGCCGTCAGCTTCGCTGTAATTTGGAGCGAGATCCAAATCCACGTGAATCCCATTGTTCAATGCCGCAAAAACTCACTGTTCAGAGGGTCAAAGCTAGTCAACAGTCTAGAAAATTTTGAGGATTTGGCATTTCCAATTAATGCATCAATTAAGTGATTGACCGTTCGCAGGCCCCTCCCACAAAACGGCCATTGTCCAATCACACATCATAGGAACCGTTACTATGTGAGCAGGTCCATCAAACATTGACTCCAAGCAAGATGGTGAAGCGGTTCGCCCACGGCGTTTGTAAATCGGACACTAGGTACCCCGAGAGATTGTCTGGAGGAGTTGTGTTCTTTCCGTTTCCAAAGCCGAAAACACAACGTGAGCGGTGCGGCCCCACTCCCAGTTAAATGTGTCGAACATGGTTAACTCGTGTGCAGTGTGCGTGAAACTGAGACACTGAGATTAGTCAAAGAAACATGGAGAAAGCAGATCAAGAGGATCCACAAAGGAATTACATTTCTAAAGGGTTGTTGTTAACATGATATTCTCGGGGGGAAATGAGCAGCAGTCAACTAGCAGTGCAGCACCCGTAGACTACAGTTTAGAGGAGTGCACGCTCGCAACGGGGAAAGCATGAAGCTTACTTGACAACATCAGTTCATATATCAATATCGTAACGAATAGAAATAACCTTAAATAATGTATGGTTATCTGCATCTTTCCGTCTCTTATGTATAGTTACTTTTTAAACACGAAAATCGCATTCAGCATGACACGCAAGCGGTTGCCGTGGTAATGAACAACCTGCTTGTTAAAGCGAACGTGTTAATCCTGTATCTGAGGCAAAATTTCTAAATATGCAGCGCGAGTTATATATTTCTAACTCCAAACATTAGCCACTGAACCAGCTTATAAAATCTTCTTCAAGGCTTTGCTGGTTGCATTTGAGGTACAGTTCATGGGGTTTCTCAGATTTAGCTTGAGACCGGTATAAGCATTCGCCTCGATAGTAGTCGTGTCTCCTTCATTACGTATTTTTATATTTTGAACATATCCCTCCACTGCATACTGTAACCCCTTGTGCCTCGATCTGGAGGATATCGCTGAGGTATTGCTCCGAAAAAGGTCACTGACACGCACGGGTATGCCTCTTCCGCTGGTCGTGTTTGACCATTTGTTTGACGTGCGTAGTAACAATAACTAGGGGCCGTGGCTTTTGCGAACGGTCAATTGACTGGGGTTTGAGACTTCTTCACTAGCATAACTCTAGCGCAGTGGTTCTCAACCTTGTTTGGGCCAGCGCCCCCCGAGTGTGAAGGGACATGTTCAGCACATGCCAAAAATATGCTGATGCACACCGTCCGATAACTGATAACTAAGTGTCATGGTTTAAAGGGGACATCGGATGAAATTTTCACTTTTTCAGCTTTTTTTGCATTTAGTTAGGTATCTGGATTGTCTGGCAGCTCAGAAAAGCTGAAAGAAAACACGTAGCCAGTTTATCAATCAATCAATCAATCAATCGATCAATCATTTTATTTCTAAAGCACGTTTAAAAAAAACACGAGTTGACCAAAGTGCTTAACAGACCCAAGCTTACAAAAAGCAGAGAAGAGATGGGTCTTCAACCTTAAAACACTCAATGGAATCACATGATTTAATGTGTGAAGGGAGACTACTCCAAAGACGTGGAGCTGCTACCGCAAAGGCACGATCTCCCCCTGTAAATACGATAAAAACCACCTTAATACAATCCCCCGCCCACCTACTGACTCCACTGTATCGAAGGCTGCACACAGATCCGACAGCACAGTTCCCAGAATCTACCGACAAAAGCAAGTCATTGGTCACCTTGAGAAGGGCAGTTTCTTGGTCGTGAAGTATGACAACTCAAACTAGCGCACGACATCAACGTTATAGCGTAGGAAAATGAAAATTGAGCGGAAGTACGTAGGAGGGCGGAGCCAGGCTAACCTTCTCCAGCATTATAGCTAAAAAAGGCCCCTTAGAAATAGGTTTAACTAGTCTGAACTCGGTTTTTTTAAAAGAGGCTGCACAAGAGCGCTGCACTACAGATGATATAGTTGGACCCACCGCATCCCAAACCTGAATTAATTAGCGGGGCAGGATGATATCAAGAGAGCAATAAGCTAGCTTGAGATGTTGGGCAATTTCTAACAGGTCCGAAGTAGTTACCGGCTCAAATGTACTTAACTAGCCAGAGATAAGAGAATCAGGAGGAGATTGAAAATGGCTTTGAACCCGGACAGAACTAGAGATGCTGGCTCTAATAGCGGAGATTTTATCCATTAAAAAAACTGCAAAAAAATTTCACAAGCTCTGTCTAATTGTCGAAACCAATAGGGCATGCAGGATTTAAAACTGCATTAATCACACAAAATAATATTTTAGGACTGTACTGATTCTTAGAGATTAAATCGGAGAAATGCCACGCCTTAGCCGCTTTGACAAACTGTTGATAAGACATCATACACTCTCTAAGTATCTCATATGAGACCTGTAGTCTATCTTTCTTCCATTTCCTCTCTGCCCGCCTCCATTTTTGTCTAAGCAGTCGACTCTCATCATTGAGCCAGGGCTGAGATACAGTTTTTGATTTTACCTGTTTCCAGGGGGCAATCCAATCCAAAATATGATTACAGCCCATATTGAAATCAGATACCAGCTCCTCTAAACCCCGAATAGATGGATTGTACTCAATAACTGGCATAAGGGCATTGTACTGGTCAGAAAACTTAAGAGGCAGAACTAGCATTAATAGCCCGAGCTCGACGGCCAACTGGCACAGGCCCAATAGGGAGCCCAGCAAATGTGATATTAGACATAATAACAAAATGATCTGAGAGCCCCATGTTCTCAATAGTCAGCTCACCCACCGGTACACCCCAGGACAAAACCAAATCAACAGTATGCCCCTGCTTATGCGTAGCACCTTCGACGGACTGCGTGAGGTTGAAAGAATCCAACAGTAACAAAAAATCTTGTACCAAGGGCTTCTCAGGGCAACAAATATGAATATTAAAATCACCTAATATAACAAGGCTATCACAACGAGTAATCATAGAAGATAAAATCTCAGAGAATTCCCCAATAAAGTCTATAACTGTTCATGTTATAGCTTATAGTCTCTGATTTGCTGGAGTGAAAACGGACGCTTCATCTTTTTTGTGATGTACAATAAACTTCATAAAACTCATCAGTTTAAGTTTTGTACATCGTTCGAACGGGGTCCACTAAAACAGGCTTGTACTAATAGTGGATTAAAGCAAGATGACCACATAGTTTATAACTGTAATTAAACTAAACTATACCCGTTCTATCTCCATATATTCTCTGGCTCTGTAGGCATCTTTGTCCAAATCCGGTTTGAACTGAAATGAGCTCTCGAAGCTCCGCCCTCTTCTTGAAAGGGGGCCGGGAGCACCAGCTCATTTGCATTTAAATAGACACACAAAAGAATGGCGCGTTTTTGCTCACCCCCAAAAAGTGGCAATTTTAACATGCTTTAAAAAATTATCTGTTGGGTATTTTTAGCTAAAACTTACATACACACTCTGGGGACATCAGAGACTTATCTTGTAAAAGGGGCATCCGATGTCCCCTTTAAAATGTTTTGGATCCAGCCAAATCAGCATGTAATCCAGAACTATTAAGAACTATTGATTACATGACAGCTGCCTAACAAGCCCAAGACATTTTCAAAGTCCAATTGTTATATTTTTAAATATTATAGAAAGCATGGGAGATGCATTAGGAATGACCCGAAATTTCATCCCACAAAAAAAGGTCATCCGAAATTTAAAATAAAATAAAATTCTTGCCCGAAATTTTTAACAGAAACCATTTCTTTAAAAGAAAATCCAATAACAAAAACAAATAACATGGATAAAAAGTGTGAAATTATCTTTTTTATGTAAACAGTGACTAATGATAGATGCTATACTGATAGCAATAAAGTTGAGCTTACAGTTGAGACAGGCACACCCTCTCTCTATGTGTGTGTGGACTGGAGAGAGACTCATGGAGAAATCCAAACAAACAAGTTCATCAGGACAAAAATTCACTAAAGCTTATGGAAGCATAACTGTAGTAAAAATGTACTTTAGTCTCCATTCCTAATCGTTATTCCTAAGTTATTAGTGCTTTAATAAAAAATAAGTGTTTACTCTCTCTTGTGCAAAGGCTGTTTAACACTAAATTAACGCTATACGTAATAGAACAGAAACAATGTTACATGTTTTACTTGTGTCTGTAATGTCAAAACTTTGACAATTTTCAGTATTATAAAGAATAAATAAAACATAACATGACACATGACAAACATGAAACGTTTTTAAAAGCAAATTTCTGTAGATGGGTTTCATGAGTATCTGTAGATAGAAAGAAAGAAAACTTACAGGATGTGAATAAGGGAGGAAGAAAGGAAGAGAGAGAGAGAAATAGCTAGTTTCTACACATGCACACTCAGACTCACCAGGGCAGGGTAGGAGGGGTATCCACTACATTTAGCCCAAACTAGTTTGAGAGGTTCCAGCATAACTGTGGCAGCACTAGTGGGCATCCAAATACTGCTGTTGCCAACTTCTATGAAAGCAGGAATATCAACAAAACATGTTATGATGGCGCAAACATTCAACCATGATACTGACAATTACTACACAGGGAAGACTATTAAATATCCATGAGGTCTTAGTGATTGCCAGAAAAAAACAAATCTGGCAAAAACATCAAAGTATCGTCAAGTTATGTTTACCACAGGCTTTACTTTACTCAGAAAAAAAGAAAAGGAAAAAAACATCTAAAACTGCATAGGAAAATCCCAAAGAGACCACTGGCGCATTAGTCTTCCGGGTTCTGACGTCATCCCTGAGCCACTCTATTTTCAGCTACTTGCTAACTTGTTTATAGAATTATTGAATAAAAACAATATCACTCACAATTGTGAATATCAACACAGCTGTGATTCAATTTTTCATTGATTGCAATGGACAATTTGCACAGGTGTTAAACACAGGTGGCAAACACATCAGTAAAAAGAATCGAGATGAGGATACCTTACCAGCAGCTATTCTAGCAGCTTTGGCGAAATTTCTACTCTCGATGCAAGCAATAATCTCACTCTTGTCCTCCACTGTGTTCCTCCGGATGAGGGCCGGCTTTCCCTTCCCACACTTCGGAAGATTAAGTGCGATACTGCTAAAGACAGATGAGAAAACATGATGGAGTGATGTGGGATATGAGCTCAAAAAAATGACAACAACAAAAAAACCTTGAAAATAAGAATAGTGCAGGGATACAGGGATGTGCATTTGGACTATTTAAGCACTTGACAGATTAAAAGTAGATATATTTATTATATATATATATATATATATATGTGTGTGTGTGTGTATACAATTATTGGCAACCCTTCATTTAACACTTTGAGCAACCTTCAATTGCCAAGAAAACAGCTCTCTATTCCCTCTTATAACATATCAAGTTGATGAACACATGGCAAGGGATTTGAGCCCATTCCTCCATATAGGATTTTTTCTGGATCCTTCAGAGGTATTATGCTTTTTGACTCTCTTCTTCATCTCATCTTTGGGCTAGGGGACTGCTATGTCCATGGTAAAACCTTAATTTTGTGGTCAGTGAACCTTTTCGTTGTTGTTGATTTTGAGGTGTGCTTTGGACCATTGTCCTGCTGGAAGATCCTACCACAGCCCAGTTATGCTTCTTATTGTGTTGATATCCCTGGCATTTGAAGGGGGGGGGGGGGGGGGGGGTAACCAAACATAAAAAGGCACAAATATTTTGCAGAAAAAAAAACACTTATTTCATGTAGTCCACATTAATTTTTTGTCTAATCTTACTTCAATAGAAGGTTTAATTTTTGTGAGTATTTTTAGAGAAACCGTAAAAAAAAACTCAGTTCAATATTAGTAGAGAACACTTTATATTATTGTTGTGTATTGTAAATGACAGATTATTTTTCTCAAAAAGGGATCTCAAAAACATGGACTGAATGTGGCTGTCACATGACAAATATTCCCAGAACAAGAGCGCCCATGAGCCAAGATGGCAGTCTGCAGGTTGTATATTTTCAAGTATTCATGAATAAGGGTGTCACAATTTCGATTTTAAATCGAATTTAAATCGAAATCGATCGAAATTAAGTCACAATCTCGAACTTCGAATTAAAAAATGGAATCGGCGTCAGCGATGCTGCCACGCCCCCATGTCACGGAAAAAAACACGCGTGTTGAAGTGCTGCGAGTCAACCTCCTCTAACTTAGCTACAGCCAGTCAAAATGTAACTGCAGATGCATGCAGGAGACCCATCGACAGAACTTGAACCGTCTACTCTTTCATTGAAGTCACCGGTGTGGAAGTATTTTGGATTTCCAGTGAGTTATGTTGTCAACGTTGGCGCTTCAAAAAAGCCACAGTTTGCAAGCTCTGCTATGTGCGTGTACCATATTCTTCCACTGGCAGCACGACTAACATGGAAGGGCATCTCCACAAACACATAGATTTATCTCTTAAATCAACAACTGTTTGTTTGTTTTGTGAACTTGAATGTCGTCATCTGCCTGTTTGCGAGGCGGCTTTATGTATGTGTGCAAAGAAAACCATGTCTCAGAGAGCGCGCGAGTACTGAATAGTTTAAAATCGCTTGAATGTTCAAACTGGTAAGACTTAAAAAAAAATGTGCAAATGGTAAACTTTAGTTACTCACAATGCAATGCTGGCCCGATTATGCAAGTGACAATTCCGTCATGTCAGTTCTCCCGAAACGTGAGAGCAGCGCGCTTGACGATTGCCTTGTGCAACCCATTTTGAGAGACAGAGAGAGAGAGAAGATGCGGCACCGCTGAACACTCACGCTGTTTGTGAAATTGCATTTCGCAGACAGTTTAAAATGACTGATTTGATTTTATAATCTGCGTATGGCAGGTTATGGCAAAATATGGCAGGTTATATTGCTTAAGTTTCCAATTGACTAAAGATATAAGGTATTACATTGGCCCTGTCCCAAATGGCACACTCCGGACTTGTGGACTTCGTCATGTAGTGCAGACCTATAGGGCCCTTAGTCCGCGAGGGCGCATTGAGAGGTATTTTTGGGACAGACTCGATCGTCACGCCGGAAACAGGAAGACGGTCTGATTGTTGTTATGGACAGGAGCTACAGGTTCGGGGAAATATGCTGCCTATTGTTGTTGTGTTTACATATGACTCAGAAAAGCCCTGACATTCTGTTCTATTTATTTAATGAATCATAATGCGATCGTATTATTCAGCTCGCTATTATTAGCCTATGTTTGAGACATCAACCACTGGTCGATGATCATAATGTTTGTATAAACTTGTCATAAAAACCGTAATGATAATTACACTTAAATATTTTCTTCTCAGCCATGTTAACAATTGTCCGTGTGCGAAATCTCCTCCCATCCGTTGTCTGATTGGCCTTTCGCAAGGATTCCTGGGTAGTTAAAGTGCGTGGAGCCTGCATCTATGCGGGCTTCGCGGAAGACCGCTTCAAGGGTACAAAGGGGTCGCTGCTGAGCACACTTCAGAGCGTTAAAATGCTAAATGGGACGGCCTACAGACTCGTAGACTCGGCGAGCATGCACAATTTAAGTCCACGAGACCGAAAGTCCGCATGAAGTGCGCCATTTGGGACAGGGCCATTATATTATATATTATACCCCCTCCGGGAGGAAGAGTTGGGCCAGTGCAACATCCTTGTAGATCCACTTCTCCCCACCAAGGAGTTTGACAGCAGGGAGCCACTGATGAAAGAAGTCCAGGAGGTTGTGCGTAAGGCACGATCTAGCTCTGCCCCTGGACCAAGTGGAATCCCATAGAAGGTCTACAAGAACTGCCCCTTGCTACTCAGGCGACTCTGGAAGATCATTCGAGTCATTTGGAGAAGAGGAAAGGTGGCACAACAGTGGAGATTTGCTGAGGGAGTCTGGTTTCCCAAGGAGAAAGATTCCAAGAAGATCAATCAGTTCAGAATAATATCATTGCTGAGCGTGGAAGGCAAGATCTTCTTCAGTATAGTAGCAAGGCGTCTGACCAACTTCCTCTTAACTAACAACTACATAGACACATCTGTGCAAAAGGGAGGAATTGCTGGAGTCCCAGGGTGCTTAGAACAGACGGGAGTGGTGACTCAGCTCATCCGGGAAGCTCGTGAACACAAGGGAGACCTCACGGTACTGTGGTTAGACCTAGCCAATGCATATGGCTCTATCCCCCACAAGCTGGTCCAGACCACCATGACCAAGCACCATGTGCCACAGCATATTGCAGATCTGATCTTGGATTATTACAACCATTTCAGGATGAGAGTCTCTGCAGGAGGTGTGACATCAGATTGGCACAAACTGGAGGTGGGAATAATCACAGGCTGCACCATCTCTGTGATCCTATTCGCGGTGGCTATGAACATGATTGTCAAATCGGCAGAGCCTGAGTGTCGGGGGCCCCAAAGCAGAGGAGGGGTCCGCCAACCGCCAATCAGAGCATTTATGGATGACCTGACAGTCACCACAGAGTCAGTACCAGGAGGCAGGTGGATACTCCAAGGGCTGGAAAAGCTCATCCGGTGGGCTCGGATGGAGTTCAAACCAGCCAAGTCCCGTTCGCTAGTGCTGAAGAAGGGCAAGGTCACGGACAGGTTCCATTTCAGCATCAAAGGAGCAGAGATACCATCACTGTCAGAACAGCCGGTGAAAAGCTTGGGCAAGGTTTTTGACAGTAGCCTCAGAGACTTAGCATCAGTCCAGTTGACCGGTCAGGAGCTGGACAGCTGGTTAAGAGCAACAGACCGTTCTGGCCTCCCCGGCAAGTTTAAAGCGTGGATTTACCAACATGGTATAGCTAATGATGTCTCGATGAAAATTCTTTCCCCCACAATTTTAGGGTAATAAAATAGTCCGCACTGCATAAATTATAAATTAAATTAGATTAATCCTTATTAAAGCTACAAGCGTTCTTTAGTCAAAGAGTAGTTAGTAGTTTTCTCTGTTCCCTTTGTTCTTTGGTTAACTTTACTGACATTAAAGCTACAAGCGTTCTTTAGTCAAAGAGTAGTTAGTAGTTTTCTCTGTTCCCTTTGTTCTTTGGTTAACTTTACTGACAGACAGAATTAGTGGCTACTGTCACTTTAAGATCTACAGCTGGTGACAGGATCTCACGCGTCTTATTCTCTCACTACTCTTTACTTCCATTTAAGATTTTATTTAACTCATTTAAGGTTAATAATGATTGATTCTTGTGAGGATACTCGACAAAACTGACATTTTGGCATAAATGTGTGCGTTATTGTTCGTTCAAGCGCGAAAGAGAATTCGATACTGGTTCGCGACTTTTTGTGCCTCGTGTGTGTGTGTGTGCGTCTGTGAGGACATTTACTGAAGTGCGTTCTCGTTTGTCTTGTCGCACATTAATGGTTTAAAGCATTTGGTGGACAAACTAATAACTAATAAGAGCATGATCATAACACTAGCTAAACAATGACAAAGAACGGATGCAGCGTTAATTGTGTTAAATATTTTAAAACATTAAAGCTGGACAAAAAAAGAAAAGAAATCGCAAACGTTAACGTTGACAGCACTAACTTTACTTGTCATACATTGCTGACAGAAAATGAAGCAGTTTAAAGTGGACTCGTTTTCATGGTAGGCCTACAATGTTTTTATTTAGTAAGCTACACAGAATGTTCTACATTGAATATTTAACTAACAGTCTGAAGTTACCTAGCAGCAGTGTATGTTAATGTTAGCTCAGTCAACATAAGGCTAACATCAAAAGGTGTAGACAGAAAATATGATTATGCTGACCTGAGCTAATTTACAAAATCAACCAACTCACATCTCCTCTCTTTCTTTTCATCCATGATGACATTAAAGTCAGGTCTGATGTTGTTTCTGGAGTTCTGCGCTCCATGCTTTCACCGACGACGCTAACGTGAGGTATGGATCTCAATCACATTGTTGCCAGGACCCGCCCTGCTCTGCTTCTGATAGGCTTGTGACGTTAGTTAGAGCTGCGATCCTCTCATATGATTGGTAGGTGAAATCAATTGACTCGAAAATATTAAACAGCATTCAAGTTCCCAGTTTCAAATGTAGCCGCGCGGTATGCGCGCTCATAATGAAAGCTGCGCACTCGTTTTTTCCAAACGCGTCCGAGCCGAAAGTGCCTCCGACTGTAATTTGCAGCCTGATTAACAAATTTTGCCTGCGCCGGAGGCCGGACCTGCCCTCAAGCCGGAAATCCGGCCCCCGGCCGGAATACTTTAAGCCCTGTACTTGTGCATGAGGTTCCCATTTCCACGGTGGAGACCTTGGAAAGAAAGGTCAGCAGCTGTCTCAGGAGATGGTTAGGGTTGCCCAGGAGTCTCAGCAACATCGCCCTCTATGGAAACACCACAATGCTCCGGTTGCCTCTGAAATCCCTGGAAGAGGAGTTTAAAGTGACTCGGGCACGTGAGGTTCTGATGTATAGAGACTCCAACGACCCAAAGGTGGCCCAGGCAGGAGTGCTGGTGAAGACAGGGAGGAAGTGGAGCGCCCAAGCTGCTGTGCTGGATGCACAGGCTCGACTGCGGCACAAAGAGCTTGTGGGAGTGGTGGCCCGAGGCAGAGCAGGCTTGGGGATGTTCCCAACACCTCCTCGACATAAAGAGTTGAAGGGGAAGGAGAAGCGCAGCCGAATTTATGAAGAGGTCAGAGCTACTGTGGAGAAAGGAAGGACGAGCAGAGCTACTGGAATGGGGCAACAGGGGGCCTGGACCAGGTGGGAGCAGGCCATGGACCGCAAGGTCACCTGGACGGAGCTCTGGCAAAGCAGGCCGCACCGCATAACCTTCCTGATTCGGGCAGTGTACGATGTCCTGCCTAGCCCAGCAAACCTTTGTACGTGGGGGAAAGCAGACACACCAACTTGCCAATTGTGCCCAGCTCGTGGAACGCTGGAGCACATTTTGAGTTCCTGCCCAACAGCGCTCGGCCAGGGTCGTTACACTTGGCGTCACAACCAGGTGCTGAAAGCTATTGCAGACACCATCAGCAAAGAGATCAGCAAAGGCGGCCGAGGCAGCAACACCACTCGTTCAATCGTATTTGTTAGGGCAGGAGAACAGCCACAAGCAGGGAGGAAGGCACCAGCAGGAATTCTGGCATCAGCCAAGGACTGGAAACTCTCGGTGGATTTGGAGAAGCAGCTGAAATTCCCCCAGCACATCGTCAGCACAACTATGAGGCCAGATATCACTCTAGTCTCAAAGAGCACCAAGAATATATTCATCATGGAGCTGACCGTGCCATGGGAGGACCGCTTGGGAGAAGCCCATGAAAGTAAGATGACCAAATATGAACATCTGGTCACAGACTACCGAGCACAGGGGTTGGAAGGCGAAATGCATGCCTATCGAGGTTGGCTGCAGAGGCTTTGTGGGGGCTCCCTCCACAAAGCCTTTACTGACCTGGGTATTGCAGGAACAACAAGGAGCAGGGCCATCAAGAACACCACCGACGCAGCCGAGAGAGCCTCGAGATGGTTTTGGATCCGTAGAGGAGCACCATGGGGGCAAGCGAGTGCTACCTGAACACAAGTCACGGTCTGATCAGCCATGGCTGGGTCGCCTGGGCGAGGGTGTCTGATGTTGAAAGACCCGAAACACCCGAGGACCCCAGGTTACATCACTGATGATGTGTTCAGGTGCATCTGAAGATGTGTTTCAAGAACTAAGCACTTTATGTTGTTAATAAATGTTTTAAATTTGACAATGTAGTGTGGTACATTGCGAACAAAGGTCAGATATTATATTGCATAAAAGTATATTCTAAAAATGGCATAGCAACCTGTGCTTTTAAAAAAAAAAATGTAAAAATCGAGAATCGAATCGAACCGTGACCTTAGAATCGAAAATTCAATCGAATCGAAGATTTGTAGATTCGTGACACCCCTATTCATGAACCAGTTAAACAACTGCCGTTGAGTTTAATCCCTTGGAAAGTATGAGATAATACCAATTATTTTGTCTACACTAGTGTCAAAACAAAAAACAAAAAAACAAAAAAAAAACAAAAAAATAGACTACATGAAATAAGCACAATGCTATTGAAAGGAAATGGAATATGTCACTGTCACAACAGTAAATGTCATCCTCTCAAAAGTTCTCTTTCAACTACCCACCTGTTGCTGGAAGACATGCTTGATTCAGAAGCGCACCTGCGACGAGGCTCCAACTGCCTGCTAGAAGACAACTCCTCCTCCTGATTCAGGCCAAACCCGTTTGACAGCCCTGAAAGACACAAGGAAGCTTGAGAGGGAGCACTTTTACAGAAGTGCTAACGCTATTAAAGGGATAGTTCACCTAAAAATTTAAATTAGCCCATGATTTACTCACCCTCAAGTAATCCTAGGTGAATATGCCATTCTTCTTTCAGGCGAATGCTCTTCCAAGCTTTATAATGGCAGTGAATGGCTGTTTCTGTTTTGAAGTCCATAAAAGTGCATCTATCCATCATAAAAGTGCATCTATCCATCATAAAAGTGCATCTATCCATCATGAAAGTGCATCTATCCATCATGAAAGTATATCTATCCATCATAAAAGTGCATCTATCCATCATAAAAGTGCTCCACGGGGTTAATAAAGGCCTTCTGAACCGATGCGATGCGTTTGTGTAAGAAAAATATCCATATTTAAAACTTTACAAACTGTAATCTTTAACTTCCGCTAACTGTCTTACGCACGTTCACGAGAGACTGGCGTTCCAGCGTATGACATAGGACGCAGGCATAGTGTAACTTCAGGTGACGAACGCGGAAGCGCAGAGGATAGAGCAAAACAAAACACCGGTTGCAAATTAGAAGTCTAAAACGAGGGTGTTTAAAGAAAAATTTTGCTCAAACAAATCAATTCTTCACATGGATGTCCTTCGATGTCAACAAACTTGATTCTCGAAAGAACTAGCATATTCTCTGACGCTGGAACGCCAGTCTCTCGTGAACGTGCGTACGACAGTTAGCGGAAGTTAGAGATTCCAGTTTGTAAAGTTTTAAATATGGATATTTTTGTTAAACAAATGCATCGCTTCACTTCAGAAGGCCTTTATTAACCCCCCGGAGCCGTGTGGAGCACTTTTATGATGGATAGATGCACTTTTATGATGGATAGATGCACTTTTATGGACTTCAAAACAGAAACGGCCATTCATTGCCACTATAAAGCTTGGAAGAGCCAGGATATTTTTTAATATAACTCTGATTTTATTCGTCTGAAAGAAAAATGTCATATACACCTAGGATGACTTAAGGGTGAGTAAATCATGGGCTAATTTTCGTTTTTGGATGAACTATCCCTTTAATTTGCATTTATATCAATCACAATGGTCTTGCCCTTTTTGACTCTTTTCCTGCAGATTCTACCTGTGTCCAGCCGTTTGATGGGCGATTGGTCCTCGCAACTGTCTCCACTGGCACTCCGTGGCCTCTTCCTGGTGTGGAGCAGCGTCTCCAGGCGTGGTATGACGACTGACAGGAATGTTTTTGTACCTAACCGAGAACTGCCCTTGGGAGTTTCACCATCATCCACGGGCTTATGAGGGCTTGTGCTTTTTGATTTGCGGAAAAGCACAGAAGTCCGTCGGTTTACTGGGCTTGATGGCTCGGCCAGAGTTGACGTAGCTACCACACTAACATCGCTGTCCTCTATCTGCAGATAGGAGTGTCCATTGAGTGATTGGGAAACGCTATCCTTTGCGTGTCTGTGTTTGTCGGGGCAGGGTTCTATAGGTTTCAGGGTGGGTGGCTCAGAGTGACTTCCTGCGTTCATGAGGGGCAGCAGTGAAACAGATGGCTCAAGCTTAGGTGGGACAGATTTATCACCTGCCATGAAATAAGGAGATACTGTCACACATTGTATAAACTGCCAATGCATGGCATTTTTACATTTTCTCAGAAAAATGCGAGCTGTATTGTAGGTGGTTGTTGACAGGACGATGCTATCCAGTTGCTTATGTGCGTTTTCAGCGCTGTGCTAGCTAGAGCAGGGTTTCTCAACCATCCTGCTCTTGGAAGGGCTAGTCATGCAAAGTTTAGTTTCAACCCTGATCAAACTCATCTGCTTGTGATTTTCTAGGTATGTTTGATTAGGGTTGAAAGGACAATGGCACACCAGGAACATGATGTTACAAATGATGTTACAAATGGTGTTCCAAAGAGTGTTCCATAGTAGGGCTGCACAAAACCGGCAAAAACTTTTTCTGTGATGTACATATTGCAATATGAAAGAAAAAAAACAAGAATTTTGGCCAGGTGACTTGAATAGCTCTATTTGGAAATAATCATTCTGATTTTGTAGGTGAATGCATCTGCATTAAAAAAATTATAATCAAATATTTTAAAACAGCTTAAAAAAAATTTAATTTATGAATTATTAAAATCTGACAAGAACACAAACAACGCCATATCCCAATAATGATTTTAATTTCAATATATCGTGCAGCCCTATTCCAAATAGTGTTTTTAGAGAATTGTTAGGCATTTGCTTAAGGCGTTACAAGTGGGGGTTTTTTCCACCTCATAGACCACGATCTTCGAACGGTTCAGCCAAAAATGAAAATTTCCTAATATTTACTCACCCCTAAGCCATCCAAGATATACATGACTTTCCTTCCTCACCGAAGAGAAATTAAAGGAATAGTTCACTTAAAAATGAAAATTCTGTCATCATTTAATCACCCACAAGTTGTTTCAAACCTGTATGAATTTATTTCTTCTGCTGAACACAAAAGAAGATATTTTGAAGAATGTCGGTAACCAGACAGTTGATGGACACCATTGACTTCCATAGTATTTTTTTTTCCTACAATGGAAGTCAATGGGGTCCATCAACGGTCTGGATACCAAAAGAAATTCATACAGGTTTGAAACAACTTGAGGGTGAGTAAATGATGACAGAACTTTCATTTTGAAGTGAACTATTCCTTTAAGGTTTTGAAGGAAAACATTTCAGGTTTTTTCTGCATGTAATGCAAGCGAATGGTGCAAAACGTAGTCTATGTCACGAGTAACCATCCCAATGTGCTCATGTCACATGCGAGGCTCTGAACTCAACCTTCTCGTCTTGAGGTGAGTAAATTACCAGGAAATTTTCTTTTTTGGTTGAACTATTCCTTTAACTGATGCACGCACTTCAACTTGATTTCCTGTTAAGACTGGACTCAAGAATTCACAGCAATGTGAATAAAACAATTAAAACAATTAGATTAAAACAATAAATATACAAACCTGAACTAGAGACAACGAAACAAGGGGACAGAATTATCTCTTTTCAAACCTCATCTATCTTGAGCTTTTCTCTCCCTCAAGTCCAATAGGCTTAGCTCATTTAAAGTTCACTTAGAATGCTTATATACCACATATAATATTATAATATGTCCAAGTGCGATTGGTAAAATTGTCTCAATTTCAAACATTAAGTGCACTTTACAGAAACGCAAGAAAGAGACTTGCAAGCAGAATACGTTCAACCATGCTGATGGACTCCATTGTCGGGCCAACAGTTGGTTCATATAAGGTCTTGGGAGTCTTATAAGTTTAATAAGGTGTGTTTGATATAGGATTCATACAAAACATGCAGTGTTCTCTAGTGTGAACTTCAAGACCAGGGTTGGGAACCATTGTCTAACAAGGTGAAAAACTGGAGACAAACAAGTAATTGTTTGTTTGTTAATATTGAGTGTATTTTGGGGCATGTTTAGCTTTTATTGTCCTGTCCAATGTGCCATCCAATTGGATAAAAGAGAGGGGGTAGGGATCAGAAAAGCTGGGACTCTTAACTTGGGACAATGGTGAAATGTCAAAGTGTTGCCCACAAGTCTTTGACAAATGTTAAACTGGTTAATAGCAAGAAAACTTCAAACCAAGATTTTTCAAACAAACCTTTTTGAAGGATATGGCCAGCTTGTTCCTCAGCATTCTTCAGTTCAGCAGCAGGAAGAGCTTTCCTCAAACTCCGCTCCATCCTCACATCACCAATGATTTTCTTGAGCAGCTTCAGTCGTCTGCTCCGTGACGGGCTACATTTCATTGCTGTAGTTAGATCCAACTTTTCTAGTAGCTCCCTCAACTGCTCTTCAAATGACATCTGCTCCCGATTGGCTGGAACCAATAAGCGGTCCACTGAAAGAAGAAGAAGAATTGTTTATTGATTGATTTGTTAAAACGTAGGGATGGGAACTGCAAGGAATTTAATGGTTCTGATTCCACTTCAAGAATGACTAATGGAACTTTTAAATCGGAATAGATTTCAAGGAAGCAGTAAATTGACCAGTACCAGTAAATTCAGAATTAAAGTTATCGGAATCAGATCAGTAAAGGAAAAAGTGGTATCGGTGCACCACTACTAATAATCGAATTCATCACGCAGTGTTGTCAGTGTGTGATAGTGATATTTATCAAGAAATGCCATTGCTTAGACACAAAGACATGGGACCCTTGCTTAGCGCAATGCGGTGCCAGGCGCCGCAAGTGTTTTTTGCTAGTGTCAGCCCGACGCAGTTTTCATTTTCACGTCCTGCGCCACGTTGTTTAAATAGCAAATGCCTTTGCGTCTGAAAACGAGGTGTGTTCAGGCCAGTTGGTGTGTTGCTATTTTGAGGCAACTGAAATAGACTGTGCCATTGACCAAGTGAAACCTGGTCAAAAGTCAATGGCGCAGTTTTTTTGTTGTTGTTGTTGTTATTTAAAAAGCGTGTTAGTAATATGCGGTTATAGGCGGGTCTACAACGCGAGTACACTTTATCCCGTAGATGGTCTGCTTGTGCGCTTTAACCTAGCGCACGAGCAGATCCGTTTCCTCGCTAGAGAAGAGTTCGTTTTTTTCGCTTGCAAATTCCGCCATGTAAATAGCGCCGAGCACAACTGTCTTTTAAAGGGAAAGGGAGATGAGACTCATTGGTTAATTGCACGTTACGCCCAAAACACACCCATTACTCATTAAGAGAATAGGGACAGTGCGCCGGGAGTGCCGACCATTTTTCCTGTTGTTAAACTAGCAAAAGTGAGCTTGAATAAAATACACTTCTTTTGCTATATTTTTTTTTTAAAAGACAAAAGAAAAACAGTGGGTGTGTGTTTGATTCACAATTTGTTTTACATGTAAATACAGAAAATTATTTTACACCACCAAATAAGGTGCAGTGAGTTTGCTTTATGTCCATGAGTAATTCCATTTTACATGAAGTTTCACGTCATTTTAATATTCCAAAAACATTGTGGCTACGATAAATTGCCACAAGCACAAATTGTCACTGTGGCTGGTGGACAAAAAATAAATGTGTAGCCTGATCAGTATACCAGTAAGTTTGTGCATTTACCATCTTCCCAGGAGAAAGGTGCGGATGGCTCAATCTTGGGTTGTTCAAGCAGGTGCATGCCAGTTTCAAAATCGAAGCCAATTGTCTGAACATCTCGACGAGTTTTCCTGAGCACAGCTCCACCCTGATCTCTCAATCTAACAGCAGCCCTGTAGAAGAATGAATCCTTGCCATTGTACTTCATGCAGTTTTCAATAATGAGATTGAAGTCTGCTTCAAATTCATCCAGATATTTGTAGCCTTGTGCATCAATGCGTTTGCTCATGGTGGAAAAATCCATTGGGTGTATGATGTGGTCCATATAGTCAGGCACCTGTGAGCAACACACACAAAATAAGGGTGAAATTCAGATCAGTGATAAAGACTCAAGCCTCTTCTATTTACCTGTATTTTCAAGTCATAGATCAATAGATGAAACTTCATTAAATTTTGTAAGTGCTCAAAAATCAGGTATGGGTGAAATTCAGAATTAAAGTTATCGGAATCAGATCAGTAAAGGAAAAAGTGGTATCGGTGTACCACTACTAATAATCGAATTCATCATGCAGTGTTGTCAGTGTGTGTTTCAGAGTGTTAAAAGAACCCAAATGAAAGAAAGTGACGAAAGAGGAGAGAAATGGAGAAGGGTGGCAGAGCGAGATTAGGAGGGGTAAAGGACATGAACAGTGTCAGACTGTATGGCAAAAGATTTTTTTTTGTTAATATTGGCTAGATTAATATTTGTCAAACAAAAATACTCAACTGCTCATTCAGCTTTAATCAACAATGGTTGAATGGTTGGTTTAATTAAGAAAGTACACTAAACTGATCATGAAAAACTCCTGGTTTGCTAAAATAATCAATTAAATGAAATATAATTAATTATGTATATACATATATAAATATGAAAATATTTATTTTATCAGCATGTAAATGGGTACAGTAAATACTGTACTTGATGCAACAAAGTGAATGTTGTAAAACAATTTGTCCTTCGTGTCAGAAGTAGTGCAAGTGCTTGAAGTATGTCAGAAACAGAATAGGTCGGTTTTGCAAGAGCTAGAACTTATCTTCTTGACTTAATTTTTTTAAACAAGAACACACAATGGCTATAAAAAGACTACACAACTGATAAAATGGCAGGTAAAAAATTTATCCAAGATAAAACATGCAAGATCTTACTTCACCTAAAGGGTCACAAAACACTAAACTACATTTTCTAGATTTCAACAAGATGTTTGTGCTGCATATCATAGAATACAATGTTAGCATTCATTAATTTTAATTGTTTAACAGCATCGGTATCGGTGATACTGTCCTTCATTCACAATATTTATTTGTACTTACAAGTACTTATGTGAAAATAAATATATTCATGAATACAAATTTTAATGTTGGGTGATTAATTATGATTAATTACAGAAACCTGTGTGATTGATTACTTTTCGATTCACATCACTTATTTTCATCTTTGTCTGTACATAAACATGCATCATTCAAACTGAATATGCAGGTAATACAGCTGGTTGGACGCTATGGGGTGCTATGGGGTCATTTTTGTTGTTCAATGGCTGCAATAATCCAAGGCAACTCAAGTTCAAACTGACTTTTTTTTATTCATTTTAAATACATTAAATAAACTTAAAATGTATTTATTCTAAATAAAATAAGTGCAGTGAGATTAAATGAAAAGTGCTGTTCAGCAAGCCTCTACTGTTTCAAGAGTTTGGTCATTCCTTTAATGGTCTTCAATGCGGCTAGACTGATACCTTGACAGTGTATAGGTTCACTCACTGTATTATTAATTGTAACCAGATCCGGTTACCTGGAATGACCCACTGACTTTTCTTAAATGTGTCTCTGACCTTGCACAATTGTTCACGTCAAATAAAAATATTTGTAATTTTGATATATTTTGTAATTTTATCATTTTGATACGTTGGTAAAGGAAATATGACTTTCAATAGATTCATTTACCTTAATTTATCATGGGTTATAGACTCTTTATTAGGCAACTATTCATTATTCAAGGCTTATTTATTCATTGAGCTATTGATGGGAGCTGGTTTTAATAAGTTTTAACTTCATATTTGTCCTCTTTTACCTGATATAGTCAACCCAAAATTTATTCAGACACCTTCAACATTTCCCACATTATCACATATATATTCACTATAGTTTAGAAAATGGTAATAAAATATGACAAGAACTCAGAGTTATCAAATCAGTTGATATTTCGCTGGTTTTGGCCATCTTTCTGTTAGACTGTCTCACAAATGAATTAGGTTGAATAGCTGTCGGCTATTAAATTTAAGTACACAATTCGATAATACCAATTGAGGTCAACCAAATACGAAGCAATGCTTTAATTTTATTAAGCAATTAAAGAAAGAAAACTTAAGAAAAACATGGTCAGGTCAAAGTGTTTGAATAATTTTGGTCCCAAATTTTTATCAATTTTACTGGTAGTCCACTCTATGAAGAATTTGTGTGTATAATATGTCACAGTTTACTTTATTTTGCCATTCTCACTTACATTAAATTAACTATAGTGTCCTGCACCCACGAGTAAAAAAATATATATATCTTGTGTCTGAATAATTTTTGGTTCGACAATATATTGTGCACCCTGATTTAGCTTAGAAAATTCTCCAAGCAGATGTTTTCCTTGAAAAGCGTGCTTGGGCTATGTTTCTTCAAATACATTTCTATCAAATTTGGACACTTAAGTTACAATAAAATGTATAAAATACTTTTGTATGTAGACAATCTATGCAAAGTGAAATGCCTTCCGACTTCTTTTAAAGTTAAGGAAACTGCAGTGCAGACCAACCTCTTTAATGCTGACAGGCTCTGCAAAAATGTGTGCCTGGTCTTTCTCCTGTAACTGATCAAGCACAGCCCTCAGAAGGACTGTGAAAGGAGTGAGTTGGAACTCCATTAAAGTCTCCTGAAGCTTTATCTGCAACAGATTCACGCGAGTCATCATCCAAGAACACGCACATGCAAACAGTAAACATTAGCACAAATGCTTATCTTGATTTCATACCTCCTCTCTCTTGAGTTTCTCTCTCTTCCTGATGAGCTCCAGCAGGAGTCGTGCTCGCTCAAGGTCGTGTCTCAACCGTTGCCACTCTTTCAGCTGCTCCTTCAATGCTCGAGTCTCCTCCTCCGACTGTTTCTGTCGTTACAATGGTTTAAAGTTTGAAAATAAACTATTATCAATAGGGGTGCAGCGATACCCTCATGTCACGATTTGGTACTGAACTCACGATACAATATTATCGCGATACTCCAAGACATATAAAATGTTAACAAAACAATGTTCTGTTGATTCAAATGCTAAATTTGATATTACATTGTGGGTGTAAATGAATAGGCTTGGACTTGGTGCTGGAAACCCAATGCACAGGACAATAGTGACATCAGAATAAAAATATTAATGATTCTGAAGCTGAAAATCCAGAATTATTTTAGATGAATATGCATGCACTCTGTCACTGACTAGATATATTTTTTTAAATAATACTCTTTACTGGTAACATCAGACATTTGGCATTATCAGGACCCAGAAATATTCCCCTATTGCATTATTATACATTATATTCAACATTAAATATATAGTAGTTTATTGTAGTACTGACACTACACTCTGTAAACTCTAAACTTTTTCCTCACACAGTAATTTTTATTGTGGGTGAACTATATACACACACACAATACATATTGTCAATATCCACTATTGATGCATTTTTGTTTTGTGATACATTTGGACACAATACATTGTTACACCCATAATTATTAATATTCAAAAATGTGCTTAAGCATTATTTACCGGCTGTGTATTTTTCTGGGAATGTAGGCTAGTTTGGAGGCGTCTGTTGAGTGGCACTCCATTCCTTGACTGTCTTTTAAGGGTCCAATACTTCAAGACAAGTTCGCCAAATGCCGCCTTCTTCTGTAAAGAAACTTGATTGAGGATTGTGTTTAACCTGTAGGAGAATGACAGTGTACAATGAAGTGAAATATTTGAAACAATCTTGCAATCTAGTAGCTAATGCTAAAAAAAGAAAGCATAGCACTGAAATGGCTTAAAAGGGTCCGATATCTCAAAATCAATGGATTTGAACATACCTTTCAGATGAAAAGCTGGGTACAGACACTGAGGGAACTGGGGCTACAACATCTACCTCATTGTTTTTAAGTCTCTTCTGCTTTTTTAATCCTGTCCTGCTCTTTTTGTCCACCGACTGACAAAGTCTGTAATTTGTCTTAATGTCATTATATATTGTAAGAGGTCTTTTAACAGAGCCGTTTGGGGTGTGGGCCCCACAGTAAGCGGTCTTTTTTACTGACAAGGTTGGTAAACCTGAGTCAGTCAACTCTTTAATGGGCTCCATCTTCATAAAGAGACCGGCCTTCTGCGCACAGCTGACATGGAAAGCGGTGTAGCAGTTGGCTTTGTGGCACTGGATACAAGCCCCAACTCCTTTTTCTTTACAGAGGTAGCAGGTAAGCTTCCACCGAGCAGGCGGGATGTTTGAGACACCATCGATAGGCTCAATGAAGACCGTATTGGAGAACCCAACCTCCGGAACCCATAAAGCACAAACCACGTGTCCCCATCGGTCATCTTCCGTCTTTTTGACCGCTCCTCCCATGTTAGGGCAGAGGATGCAGTTAGCGGGTTGTGTAGGAGACTGAAGACAATGTCGGCAAAGCCACTGGCCCTCTGGAATATACGGAACACCATAACAATCCTGATGAACGGCTAGGTTGCACATATCACAGAAGAGGATGGCGTTGCTGTCCATGCAATCTCCATCCATACATATGCAGCAAACAGCATCTTCATCAATTAAGGACTGGAGGTTCTGTTGGCCCTGACTCTCTAAGAATGATTCTTTTTCAAAACGGTCAAGAAGGAATTCGAAGGCATTGGGGGACACCTGGTTAAGGCCTTCGCACTTTCTTTTGTCGTTGACCAGCTCGAGCCAGGCATAGTCTTCTTCGTCCATATCATACTCCACCTCCTCGTTCAGCTCTTCTGAAGTTTTCTCCTCATACTTGTAGTATGTAGAAGGTCTGCGTGGGATTGCTGGGAGATTGTAATCCACTGTGCGGAATTTGGGCTCGGGAAGTGTGCAATCTTGCACCGAAGCCTTTTGCGCTGTGACAGCAGCGTTTTTTTTCTGCTGGTTGTTTCTGAGGCGTGCAGAACTTACCAAAACCTGCTGGTGTTTTTCAGCATTCTCCTTATTGCTGGTGCACTCTATAATTTCCTGCGCCATGGGATCCTCATCCGTTATGATGTCGAGCTTGTCAAAGATGCTGATCCGGTGCAGCCGGCCATCGACTTCTAGTTCCACCATCGTCTGGGCCTGGGCGCGAGTCAGCGCCTCGTGGTTTGGGGAATGTTTGATGGGACAAGGCAGCCGCTGGGGGGTGTAGTATACTTTGTTAGGCAGCGATTTTTCTTTTCATTGGGGATCCTTACAAAGCTGAAAAGAGAAAACTACTGTTCAAACTGTTCTTACTGGTCAAACCACGCTTATTTACTTGACTGCCTCTAAATAACTTATCCATGTCATCAAGGAGAAAGTTATTCAAACTTACTGGGTTGTCATGGTACAATGATACCAATACCCTTATACGTTTAATACATACCACGGCAGTGCAATGTATTTCTAATTATACTGCAGTTTTACCACGGTATTATTAAGGTACTACAAGAGAACATTGATTACTAATGCTTCAAATCGAAGCATTTTCGGGAATCATAGGTGAGAGTTTAGAGACGTACGATGCCAAACATTTTGGTCATTATATGTGCGTTGCAAACATTCAATTAGAAGCTTCTTTTTTTAAACTACAGGGCCGCGTTTACGGATCGTCTATCCCTTTAAATGTGGTCTGGGCAGGCATTTCCTTATGTTTTGAGAGACCATAACGATGCACATTCAAACGTTATCGCTTTATAACCCCATGCATTATTAAAACAGGTGCACCCCTGCAAATCGCAAATCACTGACCGATATTTTAGGATCATATTACCTCTGATGGATAAAGAGAGGAGCAGCTTTCTAACGCGATGGCGAGATGGCCTGCAGTGATTCCGTACACAATGTTCTCATCCAAAGCCCACTGATTTAGTTCTGCATGGATAAATCTGGAATGCGGCAGAACCTTAACCACAGCGGCCGCCAGGACTATAATACTGGATTAATAACCACTAGGAGAACACTTGGTTTAAGTGCCATTCAAAGGCAGTGTCGTTCCCTTCCCTGCAACGAGCGGCGAGTCGATACGATTCTGCGCCTGCAACCAACAACAATGCGGATGGTTCACTACGAATGGACGTCCTACCCGCAACGCGCTACGTCATGACGTACAGGCTGGGCAACATTACTTCATTGTTGTGAACATGATATTTCATTGAGGAAATGTACTTTATTTATTTGGTTCTGTTTCCAGACAACTTTTTTTAAATTGTTTTTAGTCGATAAAAAATTATTTCTAACTTTCCAAAGAAAGAAAGCGCAAGGAAGGGTGATCATAAAACATGTGTGACTTAGTTTTATTCAATTAGTTTTTACTACTACTCTTTTTTATTTGCACTATTTATTTATAATATAGTCATGATTGTTATTTGTAATGTTATGCATTTTTAATTGTTTCAGCAACAACAACAAAAATCCCCAAATCCCAACCTATCGATACTTATTTACATGTACATTTTTTATCACTATCAAATCCCCAAATCCCAACCTATCGATACTTATTTACATGTACATTTTTTATCACTATCATAAACAGGAAATATAGAAAGCTGGTTAAGGACAATATAGAGTATCTCTTAATCAGCAAAAATATACAGAAAAATATCACTTTTTTTTTTACCACTGCCCTTAAATATCAAAGGGTGTTTTGCCCACCCCTTCTGGTGCCTGACTGCCCCTGAGAGAGATCCTCGGGTCAAGAAACCCCGTATGTTTGCGTGAGTGAACAAGCTTTACTCTTGTAATTTTGTAGTTTTCGTTGTCTGTGTTTTGATTGTCTCGTGTCTAGTCTATTCATGAGCATGCAAAACGAAGCATGCAAAAACGAAGCAAGCGCTTCGTAATTGTATTAAAAATATGATGACCTTTCATTAGTTATGGAATAGAATGACTGTAGTTTTATTTATTTTGTAAACCCCACCCACCACATCGAAAGCCTCTATGACGCCATAGATCCCCAGTTTCTTCCGTCTGACGCCGTGTGGCGCTACTACTGCGCACTGTTTACGGCACAGGAGACAAAGCAGCCAACTCAATTACAACACTGGATCAACCATACGCTTTACTTAACCATTTCACAGCCGAAACTCACTTAAGTAAACCTCAGGACACAAAGGTAAGCGATACGCAATCGAGAGTGTTTTATTTCGTCTCAGACGCGTCCATGATTCTGGTTTAGATCCAGTGATCCGGGTAGTTCGACGAGCTTCTCTGTTTTGTGCGACCAGGATCCGGTTCTGCCTCATCAGGTTATGTCCTGTGTGGCCTAACGTAGCCACACCATTGAGTTGTCACTAAGTCAAATATCCTCATTCTAGGTCTTTAAATGGTTCAGTGTAAGCTTTGTAAATCACCAAACAGTCTTTTTTACTAAATAAATCATTAGGAAATACAAGGAAATAAATCGTGTCGGTTATATCGTTATGGCAGGAGAGAAGTGTTTTCCTGTTGTTTTGTCTGCGAGCTAATGCACTAGCCGCTAGCATGTGTTGCTAAGGCTAGCGCATACATCTCGTCAGGTCGCGAGAGCGTGTGAGTAACGTTAGCTCGAGCTCGCACTGCAACTTCCTCGATAGAAACGCCTCAGATAAATTTAACATGTATATATTTTTTATTAAAACTATATGTACATATAATTTAATTGTCATTATTATTACAGTATATGGTTGGCCAAATGTACAATTTTGGTTATTCGTTGAATTATACCTTAGTATATCGTGACACCTGACAGGAAATGTAGGAAACCCTTACATTAATTCGAATAGTAATAGTTTATTCAGAGAAAATATAGCTATTGGGTTCCTCTTAAAGTCAAGAATTTCAAGCTCTTTAAACAATAAACACTGTTGCAATTCAAGAAATTAGGTATGTGTGAATATCACAGTATAGCTTTCTCCTATGTGTAGAACATAAATCATTACTGATGTTTTTTAGGCATCCATAGCAGCAGGTTCATTTAGGGCAGCTATGGTGAAGGAATTTTCCTTGCTGTGATTTTGATTATCTCTACAACTAGACATTATTTATCACCAAAAAAAAATATATTTATAATTTGTATGATGTGGTCAGCAACCACAGAGGAGATTCAAAAACAAAACAGGCTTATTAATAATTCAAAATCTCTGGATGAACGCAGGATAATAGCACAAACCACACAATGCATAAATGTGAACTGTCCAAGAATAACTGAAACACAGGGGTAAAACAAAGGAAAGTAAACTAGGCATGTAAAAGTAATATTTAACTATAGAAATAAACAAGGACATAATCAGTAACCACTGAAACTAAACAGAGTGGGAAAACAGGAAATAAAGGAAACAGAATAGAATGTCAAAATAGGGGTCCACATAACAACATAAACCTGACAACCTGCTCGTTGGGTCTATTTTATATGTAACTGTTAGTTCCGATCTCGAATCTGACTGGACGAGAGGCTTTCGAGACGAGAGGTTAAGACTGAGGATATTTCCCAATAGTATCCAGCACTTTCATGTCTTTCGTCTTCTGGGAGAAATTACGTGTTGTAAATCTGACAGGCTCTGGTAGCACATATAGCCCCTAAACTTAGCGATCAACTATGACCATTATAAATTAGTATTATCAAAAATGTCTATGTGTGTCGATACTGAAATATCTGAAACGATTCCAATACTCCTTTCTGCAGTATCGGTACACCGATACCAGCTGCACTTTCTTGCTCTCCTCTCCGACATGCATACATGCTCGCATCCGAAGCGCACACACATAATAACGCTTTATATACAGCCTCTGATATACAGGAGCCAAAATTACCTCATTTTCGTGGGTTATTAATGGTCAAATACACTCAAAAATAATGTCACAATGCCCATCTTGGTGGTGAGTAATGTAAAACGATTTTTTTCATTATAAAAACGAATAGATCGAGTTAGCAAATATCTATATGAAAAAAGCTTTGTATCATATTTAAGTGATCTCTTCAGAAGAAAGTTTTGATTGCCTAGACTTTCAATAGATGGACAAAAAAAAAAAAAATTTAAAATATCTATATGACAGTATATGCAGTGTTTTCCCCCATGGTATCAAAATGGTATCGAATATCAATACTTTTCAAGGTATCGTATCGAAGTTAGAAATTCTTCGTTACATAATTCATAATATTAAAAAACTTAATAATTCGTTACATTTATATAGCGCTTTTCTGGGTACTCAAAGCACTTTACATATGGAAGGGGGAAATCTCATCAACCACCACCAATGTCCGATTCCGATACCAGTTGTTTCCGATTCCGATACTAGTATATACAATAAAATTTCTGGCATCGGTATCGGCGAGTACTTCTACCCATGTACCGATCCGATACCCTTTTCTTAAACAATAACTAGTTATGCGCGCTAGCTTTGGTTAACGCTGCAAATCGTAGATCAATTCTTCTTCGCTGCTCTAAACAGTGGTTGCTTGTGGCAACACAGGAAGTTGTGCTGTTGCCACAAGCAACCACTGTTTAGAGCAGCGAAGAAGAAAGCGCGCGCTAGCAGTATGTAGGGGTGTGACGGTTATTATATAACCGTGAGACCGACGGTTATAGTTGAACACCGTCATTAGAACTCTATAACCGCCAAAACCGTGCTATTAAAATATTTTTTACAAACATTTTTTATCATAGAGAATGTTTAAATACTAATATCAGCTTACGAGGGAAACGGAGGCGGAGTTAGTGGTGCGTCGGAGGCTGAGTGCTGGAGATGATTCGGGAGAGGTCTGTCCCCCTTTACCGATCAGAGCGCGCGCTGACACGGTTAAGCCTTGTTTATACTCGACGCGTCCGCACGGCAAAAAATGACGCGCTGGGTGCGCAAGACCGGCAACACTTCATTTCGCTTGGCTGTGTGCACGGCTTTTTTTGTAACAGCGCGCGCGGCGCCGCGTCCGAGGATGACCGACTTCAAGCCGAATCTGCCCGAGCATGTATGTCTCACCGCACCGGCACGCAGTTTGCGCGTCTAAATTGCAAAGTTCATTTGTTAAGGTTTTGTTTACTGTGTGTGATTCATTTAATGGAAAGCACATTCACTTCTAGTTGTCTTGCTGTTTATTTTAAGAGCGAGTTGTCCTAACAGACGAACAGTTATTTAACCGAACGTCCTATAACCCCCCACCCCCGGACGACGACGGTTATGTTACGAACCGTCACATTTGACTCACGTCATAACCGTCATCACCAATCCTGAAACCGGCACACCCCTAGCAGTATGTCCGCTGTTTGGCAGTATTTAAGACTGGGCATTCTCTGACTGGACCAACCACCCAGTAAAACGGCGACATGTCTCATATGCCATACTGTAATTTCGAGGGGTGGCACAAGATTAGCAGCTTCAACACTTAATAAAGCATTTGAAGACGCGCCCCCCCGCAGAACACGATGGCAAGGACAGACAAGGATGAGCCGCGCCAGAATCAACAATCTCTGGAAGCTTCATTCAAACGAAGAGAAAAGTTTTCAAAAGACAGCCAACGAGCGATAAATATAACCGACAAAATTATCGAGTTTATTTTTCTGGATGACCAGCCGCTGTCAAAACTGAAATCCCGTGTATTTAAAGTATTAGATGTGTGGCTGCATTTTAAGTTCTTTTTCCCTTATATATACACACAAATAATATATTGCTGTGAAATGTATGTCAGATAATAAAAATACTCTAGTTCACTCTATGTATTTGTTCATGTTTTATTAAGGGATAAGTCTGAAGCACACCATAAAATAATTCTATTAATTCAATTCATACAGGGCTAGTATGAATTGCAGCTGTATAGATACACACACAGGTATCGGAATCGGTATCGGGAAGGGAAAAAGGGTATCGGAACATCTCTAGACGGCAGCCATATTGCACCAGAACGCCCACCACACATCAGCTTATTGGTGGAGAGGAGACAATTATAAACTTATTTAAAACACATGATACATTTACTTACATATATTTAAAAATCTGAATATCATGCTGCTCTTTAACAGCATTTGAATGAAGTTTGTATAATTTGTTATCAATATATGCTAAAAGAATATATAAGAAGCATGT